TAATTATTATTTAGTAGAAAAGGACGGAAAGGGAATAATATAGGGTTGCCATTTATACAGTTTTGCCAAAAGCTGCATTTACCACTTTCCAGTCTGTCCCCCACTGATGGAGGGAGGAAGGGACTGGACAAAGGCAAGTTAGACACATGCTAAGTAGTGAGGTCTGAGTGACGTGGGAAGGTGCTTACCTGCTTGCCCATTAGTCACACTGTGAGTGAGTTGCTGGCCAGAATAGGCACGGCCACTGAAAGCACAGGAAATGTAATATATGAACTTGCAAACAAAGTACATTCTGGCTCTCTCTTCTCCCTCTGGGGACTCCTGTGGCAGAGGATGCTCTCCCTGTGCCCTCATGGCTGTGCCCATGTAGCACACAGCCATGTTGGACCCCACATGTGGACTAAGACTTTAATCTGGCCTGAAGGCTGAGCCACACACAGCCACAATGTGACACGGAAGCTCTGGACACTGATCTCGCTACACCTCGCCCAGGACTGGCTTAAGGGACAGGGCACTTCGGAATCCAAGAAATGTAACTCCACACCGATAAAACCTTCTTCCACACCCCGTTCCTTTCCTAAAGATGTCGCAAGAGCCTCGTTCCCACTCGTGGGAAGTCTGGCCCATTGGTTCCTCCTGTGCCACCTGTAAGAGCTCCTGAGTTTGTGTGGTTTTATTTTGTAAATTTGTGTCTTCTTGCTGACACGCCCTGCACAATGCTGTTTTGGATCCCAGTGCTTCACTATGGTTGGGAAATCCTCAGCCTTTCCCTTTAAAATTTGCCTCCCCACCTGCTTTCTCTCTGGAACTCCTTCTTTGTATATTAGATACTTCCATTTTAACCTCTAGATTTTTAAACCTGTCCTATATTTTCTATCCATTTGTCTCTTTTTTTGCATTCTGGGTCATTTTTTTCAGCTCCCTTTTAGAATTTACTAATTTCTACAATCTGCTGTTAGACCCATCAAATTATGTTGGTTTCCAACAATTTTTCATTTCTGAAGATTCTATTTTTCTTTCTTTCTTTTTTTAATTCACTTGAAAGAGAGAGACAGACCGACAGTCAGACATTGATTTGACTTGTTGTTCCACTTATTTATGCATTTGTGGTGGGCAAGATAGACAGACATGAGCAGAGCAAGGACAATGGGCCAGGTACAGAAGGTCACCTGGGTGGAAAGCCCCGGGTGCCGAGCAAAGGATAATTGTAGGATGAGACTTCACCCCCAGGGTGACCTTTCCTGCTCTATCATATCACTGGTCTTCAATTTACCCCCCCCCCCCCCCTGATATTTCCTCACTAGAGATGACATCAAGGCCTCATTTGTATTTCAGCTCCAGGCCCAGAAAAACAGCAAAACCACAGCTGGCCTCAGGACACCTGCCCTGACCTCGAACGATAAATCAGCAGAGGCCACAACTCTGAAAAGACACACCTGGAAAGCTGCTGAATGTTCTATTGAGCTTCCCCCCCAGGACCACCCCTACAATCTCTGTCCTTAGAACCCTTAGGACTGAGGACTCCCCTTCCCGCACCCTTTCTCCCCCCCCCCCCCCCCCCCCCCCCCCCCCCCCCCCGCCCAGGGCACTTGGGTTACCATTACCTTCCTCACTCCCAAGCTCCTTTGCCCCTAACATTCCATTTCTTCTATGAGCTACTTCTTGTACCTCTGCGATTTTCTAAGTAAATGTTCTCTTATAGTTTGGGTCTTGGCTCTGAATTCTCTCCCCTACAGGTCTAACACCTATTCTCACTGCCTACAACACTTGCATAGTGTCATACAGCTTGTTTTTATGACTCTCTATTTTACTCTTTCTATAGTTGGTGCATCATTCTACATTGGATAATTCTATTCTTTGATGTCCTGGGGGGTTGTGTTTCTGCTAATTTCTCAGTGATGTTTTGTTGATTTTAGATTTGAGCTCCTATTTGGTTGATCTGATCTGACACTGTTTTTCTCAAAAAAGAATTTGAATTTGCTTCTGCCAGGAGTCAAGGAGAGTATGGTTTTGTCTAGTGTGTGTGTGTGTACATGTGTGTGTGTGTGTGTCCCACTTGTTTTTGCCCTTCTGATTTCTCTTACCTCTGAGAGTTCAGCATTAAAAAGTATGTCCTTTGCCCAGGAACGAGTTGCTTTGTACAGGAAGTTTCTTCAGGAAGTGAGGGTCCCAGTGAATTCTCTAGTTGGGAAAAGTTTTAACTGCTGAGTAAAATTAAATGTTCAAGAGTAGGTTCTGTGTGGGAACAAATATGCTGGGCTTCCGGCCCGGGGGGGTGAGAGCTCATGCTGCGGGAGGGTTGGAGTGGGCTGTCTGGTTGGTGAGTGCACCACAGGCTCCATGTGTGCTCGTTCATTTCCCGACAAGAAAACCAAAACGAAGCCGGGCACTTTGAGTAGCTGTTAGAGATCAAAGGGAACCAAAACAAACTACCTGGAATTATTACAGAAATTGGTGGGACCAACGAATTTAACTGAATTAAAACCACTTTGCATACTTTCCAGGAAATACAATGAGTATGCTTCACCTTAGAGAAAAAAGAAATTATAATCAAGTGTAGTTTGCTTTTGTCTAACCCTAACATGCTTCTCTGGTCAGCTCCCTATTCACTTCACCCAACAATTTGTTTTTATCTTCCTCCCTTTTCAATCCTCAGAGCCAAACCTCCTCCCTTCCCTGTCACTCTCAGAGGTGGCATTGGCTGCTTTGTTAGAAAGGCTGCAGACACGATCAGAAGACTTCTGCACTCACATCACCAAAGCCTGACCCTCCTCTCACTGTGCTCGGCCTTTTCTGGAATTTGAAAAGTCGGTCTGCTCATTCTCTCTCAGTGTCAAGCAGGCCTGTTCATCGCGCTCTTCTCCAGAAACGGAACTCACGCTCATGCCAGAACCATGGATAAAATAACGCATCTACTCTGTGCCCTCCCGCTTTCCCGTGGCCAACCCGCTCTCCGCTACTGCACAGCAGCGCTCAGCAGCTGGCAGAATTAGTCCATGTCCCCACTCCCACTCATCGGTTTTACCCCCAACCTCCACTGAAATCCTCACCATAAAAAGTTTCCATGTTTCCAAATCCAGTGGACATTTCTTTGTCATCACTCTTCTTAACTTCTCCCAGTGTCCAACAGTTTCAAGCACACACACACACACACACACACACACACACCCCTTTTATCCTTATTTTAAAATGTCAGTTATAAAGAGGATAAACGATATTTCATTGAATATCATTGTGTTTCTCATAAAACAAACTCATTTATTGCAAGGACATTACTTATAATTATTCATTTTTAGTATATATTAGACTAAATTAATTTCTAATTTTTATTTCAATGAAGATCTTAAATTGATGTTTGAAAACCATATGTATAGGTAGGTTACATTACTTCTGAATTTCATTTAAGGTCAGTAAAAAGGGATTTTTGACATGTTTGTTAGGGAAAGTTGGAGGGCAGGTGGGACTGCGTTTCTGCTCTCCTGCGGAGTCCGGGGCAGTGGCCCGGGCAGGTGTGCTGCCATGTCCGAGTGCCATTTCAGTGCTTGTGGAAGAGATTCAACTTGTCAAATAGTGAGATGATAATTTCTCTCTTGAACTAATATGAGTTATTCTGGTTGTTCCTTAGTTCTCATGTCAGCTACCTGAATAGTGATTTTCTTCATCAAAATATTTTGTCACTTCTTTTTACACCTAACTCTCCCAGCGTTCTGTGTGGGAAGACACAGAGTAGAATATGACCCTCCAAGTGCAAGGTTCCTCTTCCGGTGACAATCACTGCGGTAGAGGCGTTTTCCGGCCACGACTCTTCCTTTGGAGGATGATTATCATGGGCTCAGGACGGAAGGCCCTCCTTCTGATTACTGTTCCCAAGAAATGGTTTTAGCCATTAGTCTGCTTCCTGCCAGGAGGTCAGTTCTGGCTGCGTCAGGGAGTGGCCTGATGCATGATGGGAGGTCTCTGAAGTGACTGTTCTCCTGGGGCCACCGGGGGCATCGGCATACATGGCCTTGCCTCTGCTGCCGGCTTCCTCCCTCCTTTGAGAGAACAGGCTGCAGCCCATGGCGTGTGCAGGGGGAGGGCTCACAGGCCACCAGGCACCAGGGTCCTGGGGAAGGCTCGTGGGCAGAGAGGACTGTGCGCACTGGTGTGTGGGCTGCTGGGTACAGCACGGCCGGCAAAGGACTCCATCTCAACCCTGTTACAGTGTCTGCAGATCAGGCCCACCTGTCACCTGGGAGGTTGTTAGAAATGCACGGCCTCCAGCCCCGTATGATTTCACTCTCGTGCGGAGTCTAATGAACAAAATGAGCCATAAGCCAAGGAGAGACAGTCCCGTCGGCGGAGAGCAGGCTGACAGCCGGTGGGGGCTGGATGGCGGGGTGGAAGGATTGAGGAAAAAAGGAAAAAAAGAAAAACTCATGGACACAGATCATAGCGTTGGGTGGCGGGGTGGGGGAGCTGGAGGAGGGTATGGGGGCGGGATAAATGGTGACGGAAGGAGACATGGCGTGGGGGGTGAGCACACAATAGTGTACAGTGGTGTGTTGTGGAATTGCGCATGTGTAACCTGTATCATTTTGTTCACCAGTGTCACCCCAGTACATCATTCAATTAAAAAAGAAAGAAGTACCGGCCTCCGCCCCTACCAACGAACCAGAAAGTGTGTGAGCAAGGCCCCTAAGCGCCTTCCATGCGCAGTCCAGTTCTAGAGGCTCCGCTGCCCTGGCTCACATCCCCGGCTGCAGCCTCAGACCGCAGTGCACAACTCTCCCTCCGGGCAGCCTTCCCGGCCCCCGGCGGGCCTGGTGCTCCTCTCACCCCCTGCACTGTCACCGGGTCCTCAGGTTTCCTCTCTGGCCTGTCGCTGCAGCTCTGCCCGTCTGCCCTCCCTCGGAGGAGAGCGGCAGCCTGGCTCATTCTGTGCTCACCTCCCACGTTGACTGACTCGGTGAAGGAATGAGTGGGCAGGTGAGCGACAGGACAGAAATAAACGCCTGAAATTCAGAGGGTAGATGTTTATTTTTCTCTGCTTCAGGTAAAGCTCTACAGGTAAAAATGACTTTCAACGCATCCATTTTAAACATAACCTCTGACATGGCAGTCAGGATTCCCCCAGCTCGCCGCTTCAGGCACTTGTGCACCCAGCGGCAAACAGACCTTCCCGGGCTCCGAGAGAGGCTCGCTCTCTTGGGGATGCTGTTGCCAGCTGCTTGGTGAGGTAGGGAAGAGCAGCAGACACAAGGTCAAGGCCACGCCCAAGCCCGCAGCCACCTGCCTTTTATGAGCTGCTCATCCAGCTGGTGAGAGGGGAGGTCCTCTGTGGGGCCTGTGCCTCCCACCACCCACGGGGCCATCCTCTCCCTCCTGAGCACCTGCAGGGGATGGCGGGAAGGGAGGCCGAGCACAGGGCTTGGCTGTGTCGGCATCTTTGGTACAAGGACCAGTGCCCAGGCCCAGGGAGGAGAAGGCAGGCAGCCAATACCCACCGGGGCTGGCGGCTGGTGGGCTGCAGCGGCCATGTTCTCCCTGCTGCCTGTCAGTAGGAAGCATGGGCCCTCATGCTGCCCGGCAAGTGCTGAAACCGCAGCTTCACCCGCCTACTAGCAGAGACCTCCGAGGGCCACGGAGGCCGCTCCCACTGGGCCCGTTAGCTAGGATGCAAGGAGCTGCAGGTGGCAGCATCTGCAGGAAGCGGCAGCTTTGCTGGCTCTGTTCTCCTCTCTCCTAGTCACCGGCCTGATGAGATGTCTTGCACTTGGCTTTTCCCCCTTTTCGCTAACGGACCCTGATGAGGTCACGGAGCCTCCCCGGAGAGGCAGGGTGCCCTCTCCCTGCAGCGCTGCCTGCTCAGCCTTTGTACCCGGACTCTTCCATCCTGAGATGCCCTCTGGCCCGGAGACCTAAGAAATGTGGGCATGACCCCATTGCCCGATCAAAGCAGAGTGCAGTGCACCTTGTCGAGGTCTCCGACAGGAGCTCCCACCCTCTGTGCCCCGGGGCTTTGTGTGGAAATGACAGACGCCTTGGCTCTGCCAGGAGCTGAGGGGGGTCAGGGGAGAACTGTGTTCACAGGGGAAGTAAACAGTTTCAGGGTGAATCAGGCAGGGATGGCATATGACTCAAGGGCACATGTCCTGTGGCCCTGGCTGTGGTCCAGCCTCCTATGCTGTGTGGCAGCAAATTTCAAGTTTGCAGCTTTGGTGGAAAAAAACGCCCAAGCTGTTTTGAATGTACCCCTCCTTTAAGAGAACTTGGAATTTTCTGGGTGCTCAGAGGTAGGCTCTGTGCCCCGGGGCAGCAGAGGGCATAGGAAGAGACCCCTGTGTTTCCAAGACCAATTAAATGAAGACATTACATACCCAGGGGAGGGGGGGGGGTAGGTCCTGAGAGAGGCTGCCTCGCTGAGCAAGCCTGGGCCACCTCCCTGTGCACGGACATGGTGGGGCCTGCTCCAGGCTCCCAGCAGACACTCATACTGATGACCTAAAGGGAGAAGGCACCGTGGTCCAAGGACCGGTCATCACCAGCTTACAGGAGGAAAAACATTCCACTTGTTCTCAAGATGTGGCTGATCAGTGCCGCCAGGAGGGAGGTGCCTTCCCCCAACCATAGGAGGACCCACCTGCAGCGCAGGGTGATGCCTGGCTTTGCGGGAAAACCTCCCAGCTCAGGGCAGATATGGGGGAGCCATTCAGCTCAACCTCCCTCCCCTTCCCCTTCCCCTCCTGGCAAAGGAAGGGCCTCAATGGGTTCCCATGGCACAGACACCAGGATCTCCCCACCCCCGCAGCCCGGTCTGCCCTGCCACCTTGGAGCCCAGGTCTGCAAATGCTGTGGGAAAGCAGCAAAGGGGGGGGGGGTGCGAGGCACAACTGGGCTGACTCCACCAAAGACAAGCACGCCATGGCCTCTCCTGGACTGACAGTGTGTGCGCATCTCTGCAGACGCCAGTGGAGCCGCTGTCCTCCTAACACCTGTCACTGGCTTTTAGATCTGCAGGTTGGTATCTCAGGGACTGGACATTTTAGCTAGGAAGTATAATTGTAAATCCTGTTATATATATGAAATATATATGAACCTACGTGTCACACACACACGTGTGTCATTCTGAATATTACTGAATACATTTGCGTCCCAGGAGTTCGGGCCTCAAACCACCAACGAGTGCAGTTACACCAACCACACCAGGAAAGCAGCCCCGACAGGCGCCGGGCTGGCTCCCGGAGCCAGCTGCGCGTCCTCACAAGTGGCTGGTCTTCTGGCCCAGGGCGTGGTCCACGGGCAGCGTGAACTTGACGGCGCTGTCCTTCTCCCAGCCCCTCCGGATCCTGGTGAGTCTGCGGCTTACACAGGGCAGGAGGAACAGGGCCTTGGCCAGGATGACGAGGCAGGGCACCAGCAGGGTGAGCGTGAAGGTGGGAGGCAGGTAGAACTTGTAGCGGCTTTCCTCGAAGGCGCGGGTCCAGCCATAGGTGAGCGTGTGCAGGGTGCTCAGCACCAGGGCCACGAAACCCAGAGAGGACTGCAGGAGAGAGAAGGCTGGAATGAGGGTCAGGGCTGGCAGGAACAGTGGTCCACCAACAGCCCACTGCTTGCCCGGCAAAGGAGAAGGAAGGAGTGTGGCTTTAGTCATCAAGGCTCTGGGTTCAAATCCAACCTTATCCGCTTGCTCTCCCTATGATCTTATTAGCACTACCTAAACTCTCTGAACCTCAGTTTCCCCAACAGAAAAACAGGAATAATACCTCTACCCTGAAGGCATATAAGGACTGACTGATTCATATGGATTCAATAAAGTAACTGTTATTCATACCTTTGGTGGCTAGCAGAGGACTTTTTAATTTATTTTTGACTTTAAATAATTTTATACTTTTTAATTACAGTTGCCATACATTAGCTTCAGATGTACACGCCAGCGATTAGACATCATACAACCCACTAAGTGATCATCCAGATAAATCCAGTACCCATCTGACACCATACATACATTAGAATATTATTGACTACACTAGTGGCCTGGTGCAAGAAATTCGTGCATGGGGGTGTCCCTCAGCCCGGCCTGAACCATCTCTGATCTGGGACCCCTGGAAGGATGTCCTACTGCTGGTTTACAGGGATCAGGCCTAAACCAGCAGTTGGACATCCTACTTGAAATCTGGGACTGCTGGCTCCTAACTGCTCACCTGCCTCCCTGCCTGATTGCCCCTAACCACTCTGCCTGCTGCTCTGCTCGCCCCTAACTGCCCCCTGCTGCCAGTCTGCTAGCCCCCAAATGCCCTCCTGCCAGCCTGATCACCTCCAGCTGCCCCTGGTGCCAGTGTGCTCACCCCTAACTGCCACCCCTGCCCACTGATCACCCCCAACTGATCCTCCTGCTGGCCTGCTCACTCCAAACTCTCCGCCCCCCCACCCCCCCGCCACGGTCCTGATCACTTCCAACTGACCTCCACTGATGGCCTGCAGGCCCTAACTGGCCCCCCTGCTGGTCTGCACCACCATGGCTTTGCCCAGAAGAATGTCCGGAAGGTCTCCTGGAAGGTCTCCCAGTCTAATTAACATTTTATTAGTATAGGTTCCCTATGCTATACTTTACATCCCTGTGACCATTCTGTAACTACTAATGTGTACTTCTAAATCCCTTCACCAGCTAGCTGGTGTGGCTCTCTTGCTGCTTTAAAGATTCTCTCTCTGTCTTTAATCTTTAGCATTTTAATTATAATGTGTCTTGGTGTGGGCCTCTTTGGGTTCATCTTATTTGGGACTCTCTGTGCTTCCTGGACTTGTGTGTCTAATTCTTTCACCAGGTTAGGGAAATATTCATTTATTATTTCTTTAAATAGGTTCTCAATCCCTTAACCTCTTTTTTCTCTTCTGCTACCCCTATGATACAGATGTTGTTAGGCTTTATGTTGTCTCAGAAGTCCCTTAAAGTATCCTTATTTTTAAAATTTCTTTTCTTTTTGCTGTTTTGATTGAATATTTTCTGCTACCTTGTCTTCCAAATTGCTAATTCTATCCTCTGCTTCATTTAATTTGCTGTTAATTCCTTCTAGTGTATTCTTCATTTCAGTTATTATATTCTTCATTTTTGACAGATTTTTTTGTTATGGGATCTATGTCCATTTTTATGCTTGCTATTTCTTTGTTGAAGTTTACACTAAGTTCCTTGAGCATCCTTATAACCTGTGCTTTGAATTCTGTTTCTGGTAGATTGCTTGCCTCCATTTAGTTTAGTTTTTTTTTTTTTTTTTCCTTCCCCTGGAGTTGTATCTTCATCTTTTATTTGGGCCATGCTCCTTTGCCTCCTCATTTTGGCTGCCTCTCCGTGGCTTTTCTGTGTATTCGGTAGATCTGCTTCAGTATTGGCCTGGTGGCAGTATGTGGGGCCCAGGGGCACAATTTCCTGGTCCTCTGAGCCGGGCTCTCCAGGAGTGTCCCTTGTGTGGGTTATGTGGGCCCTCTGGTTGTAGTCAAGCCTTGATTACTGCTAGCATGTTTATGTGAGTGGCTGACCCTCAGGCTGGCTGGCTGTGAGGATAGGCCATCACCACAGTGTATGAGCTGTTGTGTGGAGCTGAACCCATGACATGGAATTTGCTCCAGCAGGGTCAGGTACCTGCTTAGTCCTCCCTTTGGGTGTGCTACCTGTGGACCAATTAAGTGGTGCTCTGTTGTGGTCTGAGGTCAGCCACAGGGTGTGTTGGTTCTGGGGCCTCTTCTGAGGGCTCAGCATGAGGCTGACACCCCTCACTCCTCAGGCAGGCGGGGGGCGGGGGGTGGGGCGGGGGGGCACTCTGCCATCAGATTCTCAGCTGCCACAGATGGGTGTGGGGCCAGCCCGTTTTGTGTCTCTGCCCCTCCTTGACGAGGCTTCTTTATATCCTCAGGCATATGACTTCTGTTCAGCTAGTCTTCAGATGGCTCTCCAGGTTGATTGCTCTGTAATTTAGTTGCAATTCTGATGTGGTCATGGGAGGAGGTGAGTGCAGCAGCCACCTACTCTGCCATCCTGGGCCCTCTCCTGCAATCTAATGCTGTTTAACTGGCTTAATTAGGAGCAGTTAGCCCGGCCCAAACCAAATTAAAACAATACCCCCACCACCACCCAGACTAACAAAATTCCAAATTTAATACTTTGAAAATGGCCTCGGAACAGAAGGATAAATGTAAGCACAAGTCACCTCTATGGAACAATGCACTGTTTGAAAGCTTTTAGCTAAGTAAGTCTGTGAGGACCAGGCAGGGTCGGCTGGGCCCACTGAGGGCCATGGCGTCTCCATAGCCAGGTGAGGAGCCTGTGGCTTGCTGGGTTGTGTGTCCCAGGGGAAGGAGTTGGGGTCTGCTTGCTCCTCACTGGCAGTGCTGACTTTACGGAAGATGGCAGCTTGCCTCAGCCGTCAGGCAGCCACGGGCCTGTGACTTTTACACGTCTTCAGCTCATGCACTCTCCTGTCCTCAACTCAAGTACTACCAGTGACCACAGGACGTGGACACAGACATGTGAGGACACAGAGGCTCTGAGAGGCTAAAACACTGTCTCCTGGCACAGGGTCAGTGAGTGGTGGTCATAGGACTGAAACTCAGGAGTGTGCCCTTCCCTCAGAGGGACTGCATCATGCACACCCACGAGGCACCCAGGAGCCAGCAAACAACAACTTCCAAAGCGATCCAAGCCACCCCAGGCATCTGAGCTCATAGGTCAGAGATGAGTCTGCGAATTTCTCGAAGAGAGCTCTGTGACTTCAAACTTCCTTCATGGTGGCTCACGGTAAGAATCACACATCACTGCCCAGTACACATCCAGGCATGACACATGTATCTATAACTACCGGGTCAACATGACATAAAAAAATGCAACATGCAAAGCACTCTGATGCTTTCTTCCCCATTCTATTATATTTCATGCTTTTAAAAAGCTGGCTGTGAGCCACTAAATTGATTTCATGACCACCAATAAGTATCAATCACAGTTCGCAAACAGTGACCTGGACCTTCTCCTGCCCAAGTCGGAGCTCCTTGACCTCACTCCACCTCCTACTGAAGGGGATAATGGAAATGCGGCCACATGCTGTAAGATTAATAGCAAAATGCTTTTTCTCTTTCACACACAGCCCCTCACAGTGGCCAGGAGCATCCTTGTAGCGCACAAGAGGCTTGGGGGATGTGCTCTGTCCCCGTGACAGGCAGGGCCCGGCTCCAGGGCACTCACAGCTCCCCCTCTCATCAGCACCCGGGGGAGACAGGGCATTGCTTTCTGGACAGAATGCGGGCAATTGATCTCCCCAAGTAAAGCCCTGCCTCTCTCCCCACCTCTGCCAGCCAATCCCGCTGCTCCTGCGGGGACAGGGGGACTTGCATATTTGTCTTTTCGACTCTTCAGTATGTAAAGCAGAGCGTGGCTGCTGAGGCTCCAGTCCCTTTGGCTAACAAACCCTAATCCTCCGGCTTTCCTGGGCAGTCGGTGGCCAGCTTGTAATCTTCGACTGCTTAAGGGAGCACCTTTCTGGAGAGAGGAGCAACTGCAGTCTGTTTTAATTGTGGATAAACCATGCACCCAGGATACTCGGGCAGGAACAGGAAAATCCCAGCTTTGGGTGCGCGACACATGCGGATTAGTGGCCCATAAATGAAATTCTTGTTCCCCTCTGATGCCGGCACGTGTCAGCCCTGAGCATTCCCCTGGGGGCCTGCTGAGATGAGCAGAGCCAGTGAGATTCAGAAATTGGCACTCTGAAAAGGAAGCCACCACCGCTCTGGTGGATTCTGAGCTGGGTAAGCGGTCCCAGCCAGGGGCAATTACAGGGTTCCACAGAGCCCTGCGCTGTCGGCGTCCCTCTGTGAATCCTGGACTGTGTCCTCACTCAAAGAGAAGATTGCGACAGGCTTTTGTTGTCAGTGGGGGTGGATATGAGAGCTGCCCTCTGCCTGCCACAATACGGAGGCGGAATCCAGTCCCAGTCAGCTCCCTCCGTTGGAGGGGAGAGTTAACGTACCAACCCCGGGGAGCTGGCCAGGCCTTCTGCATGGGGAACAATGGCAGATGCCAGCATGGGAAAAACAGTCTGTCTCGGTTGTCCTTATCATGGACACGTGGCTAGGCCTGCCTGGTTCCATGTCACATCCCAGGCCTCGCCCATGGCTGGCACGCAGCAAGCGCTAATAAGCAGTTACTGAATAAAAAAATGCATAAAGAACCTTTTGCCATAAGCAGTGTGTTTTGTGGAGTGTAGACAGTGCTCAGATAGTCTGGTTATTGCCCTGGCTGGTTTGGCTCAGTGGACGGAGCATCGGCCTGCAGATGAAAGCATCCTGGGTTCGATTCCTGGTCAGGGCACATGCCTGAGTTATGGGCTCAATCCCCAGTAGGGGGCGTGCAGGAGGCAGCTGATCAATGATTCTCTCTCATCATTGATGTTTCTATCTCTCTCTCCCTCTCCCTTCCTCTCTGAAATCAATAAAAATACGTTAAAAAGAAGTCTGGTTATCCAGGTTTGAGTTGTAGACATTAGGATCTCCAGTGTGCCGAAGTGCACTGTCTCTCTCAGGGGCAGCAAAGTTTTCCTCAGGTTCATGTGACCACCGGCCTCCATTTCTCTGGGTTCCCCACAGGAATGGGTCCTTGGGAGATGCTGTGCTTCGTCTGCTATGAACTGGTGGTCCCAATACTCCTCTCCCCCTGCCCTGCCCCGACCGGGGGCTGCAGGGCCCGCAGGGCTGGGGAGAGGAGGTGCAGCGAGGCTCACTCCCAGGCTCAGCGATTCCCGCCAGGGACGTCCAGTGACTGCGCACCATGAGGTTTGGTTTGGGAAGCTCAAATTGTAAAACTGATCCTATTTAACCCAGGGTCCCTGGTCTTTGTCTACTCCGCTCACACACTTGTATCTGCTTCCCCAGAGGCCAAGAGAATGAGCTGGCCCCAGGCAGCCTTTACCAGGCACATGGAAGGGCCCAGAAGCCGGACACCTGACTGAGCAGTGCTGCTGTGCAGATTATCACAACCGAGGCCATTCGCAAAGGGGGAGGTGCTGGCACACGCGGGGCTAGGGGAGGCGGGCCCAGGCTCGCTGCCACAGGCAGCCCTGCTTTACCTGAACGAAGCTGAACTCCCTCCAGTTGAGCGAGTTTGCAATGGACGGCAGGGAGGTGACAGCCAGCAGGGACAACGTGCCGAGGGCCAGCACTCCCAGGGAGAGGTAGATCTCCATCCGCCAGACATTCTCTTCAACCCAGAGGTGACTCTTGTTGGTCAGGACCTGATGGGGATGGAAGGAGAACGTGAACACCGGGCCCTGGGATGCGGCCAGCGGTCCCTTCAGATGCCAGACACAGAGTAAAGGCCACCCACACGCAAGCGTGCCGGGCTCTGCTCTCAGCGCTCGCAGGTACCAGACCGTCTAAGTCTCACAGCCACCACGAGGCCGAGGTCTAAACGAGGCAAAGAGACAGAGTTCCTTCCCCAGGGTCACGCCAGCTAGGAGACGGCGAGCTGGGACGGAGACCCAGGCAGACTGGCTCCCTCCCTGTGGCTCTCACTGATCTGCCTGGGCCAGCCAGCCCGACGGTCACAGGAGCCGGTGAGAGTCAGAGAAGTCAGCAGACAAGCAGACCCTGCGAACACGACCGTCTAACAAGTCCCCCAAAGGAGGGAGAAGCTCTCCTAGCTCAGAATCCCATCAGCCAGTGGACTCCTGTTTCTGCCACCTCTCTGACCCTTTGCCTTCCTGGTCCCCCAACATGCCCTTTCACTGCCTCGCACTCAGGGCACACAGAGACACATAGACCCTAGTGCCCCAGCTCCCACCTTCCCACCCAGATCCCCATTTCTTCTGGAGCCATGCGGCTTTCGCTTTCCACTGCCAGGCCACAGGGACTGACACACACTCATCAAGCACTTATAAAGCACCTACTGTGCGTCACACCCTGGGCTGCAGAGAGTAAGGACACCTGTCCTCAGAGCTCTGGATCCCCCTCTCCTCCTCCCCCAGGGATCCACATGGGCCTGGAGGTGTCTACCCACCTCCCCACCCAGAGTGTCCTTAGCTGAGCCTCCTCCGGCACGGCTGACACGCAGGCACACAGCATACACACGAGCTTTTATCAAGGTCACTCCATTAGAAGTGCCCTTTCCCACCATGAGCAGGTGGCGGGGTTCCTGGAAGTCGAGGTGTTCTCTGAGAAACACCGTGACAGGCTGGTGCTTTGTCCGCAGCACGAGGAAGTCTGCCCATTAGGAACGGTGATAATGCGTCAGCAGCCAGGCCTCTGCTTCGCACAACACCATGACTCACACAGGCTTTTGAGAAAGTGTTTCAGCAGGAAAATCAACCCAAGGCCAGCAACCAGATATAACATTGAAAAGTAATCTAATGGGCTGAGCAGAATGCTTGAGTAGCTTATGAGAGAAAGCATAAAAATTAAAAAAAAGAAAAGAAAATGCCACCCATTGGGTAATTCTGCAATTTGAGAAAATGATGGTGCCTGTTCTCATTGAAGGGCAGGCCGGCCCATGTTGGGGTCTGTGAGCCTCACAAGAACCAGGGGCCTGTGGACCCAGCTTCTCGTCCCGACAAGTCATGTGAGTCTGGGCCTCCTCCGTCCACCTGGGAGCGCTGGTGAGGTCATGGCTAAAACCCTGGGACTGCTGCTAGCGGACTAGCTGGCAAGGTGGCTGACATTACCGCGAAGGCAGATGGCGAAGAGGTCCCACTCACACCCTTGTGCACTAACAACCGCAAAGCCGTCCAGATGCAGGCTGTGCGCGGAGTTTGCTTCCTTAGCCACCGCCTTTGCACGGCGGTGAGGTCAGGCAGCTCCTTCTCCCGTCAGAGTTTGGATGATCACACACACCCCACAGTTGCTTGCACAATGTCTTGTTTTTCCTCTAATACTTCCACTCTGCAGGGGTGCTGGGGAGGGCAGAGGGGGGTCACGAGGGAGCAGTGGGTGGTGCAGACCCTGTGTGAGGATCTGGATCCAGCTCCCTTTCATAGCCTGTGAATCCCGTCCAACCTACTGAACCCCAGTGCTGGACTCGGGGCTCCCAGTGACCAGCACCACACATGCTGGAGCACAGCCGACAGCTCCCCACTCCCCTAGGAGTTCCCTCCAGAGCTAATCAAGGTGGCCACCTGGAGACGGATGAGAGCTGTTCCTCAGCAGATGATACAATGGTGGCGGCACTCACGTGGATTTCCTTCCCCTGTAGGGTGCAGGGCCAGGAGGACCAGCGGGCTGCAGCACCAGTCCCTCTCCGTGTCCCAAGGGTGGCTGACGGAAGGGACGAGAGTGGTGCGGGCCCGCGGGAGGGGGAGGCTGGATGTGGAAGGGGCAGCCTGCAGTGGTGGGGGCCGGCCTCACAGTCCCAGGGCCTGGGTTCCATGCCCACTCTGCCAGGCAGGGCCCTGGCTAACGGCAGCACTGACTCTTTCTCACTGCGCTATCGCCAGGACTAAGAGGAGGCTGTTTGTGGCACAGTCACAGGTGACTGGCACGCAGCAGGTGACTGGTGCTGTTGTTCCAGTGAGAAGCGGGCAGGTGGGCTAGCTCTGTTCCAAGTCCCACACGAACTCCTCTGAAGAGACGCCTGGTGTCAGCTTTGTGTGGCCACGTTAACAACCAGCCACTCCGTGAACATAAGCCGGGAATCTGTGTCACATACATGGGCCTCCAGGAGTGAAGGCCCAGTTATGGAGGAAGACAGATGTGCAATGAGTGAGCACAGTGTTTCATGATAAAGATCACAGAAGTGTGCACAGCATGCCTGTGATGGGGGTGAGCATGGAGGATAAGGAGAAGGCCTGGGAGTGGAACAGCAGGAGAGTTTGGAAGGACGAAGAGGAGCTTGTCAGGCTGTCAGAGTGTCTCCAGGTGGGGAGCCCAGGCCAAGAGGAGGGAGCTTTGCCCAGTCACAGGACAGCGTGGGACCTAGTGGGACGAGTCGCGGGAGCAGTGGGGAGACGCGGCTGGGAGAGAGGAGGCTGCCTGCTGAACAGTTTGGCACTACCCGAGGGCGGAGGGGCGTCGCTGAGCGCTTTTCAGCAGTGACAGGGTCAAATGTGAGTTTTAGACAGTTCTCTCTGACAGCCAAGATTGGACGGGCGTGAGGGGGGAAGAAAGCTGTGCTGGTTAAACACTTCCTTTGATCTCAATCTTGAAATCCATTTTTAGGGAACCACACAGCACCTTGGGAAACACGGTGCAAATATTAGTTATTGTTTGTAGTAATACAGTCAATAAACATGGCCAAGGTTTTCCCTGCAGCCGGGATGCAGCTCTGCCTCCAAGTCTGTGGGCTCAGGGGCTTGGCGGAAACCTTACGTCTCCAGAGCCCTGGCTGATGCCCAGCAGGGCAACGGGATGGTGAATGTGCACCCAGCTGGAGGCCCTGAGGGGAGGCCCTGGGGGAGGCCCAAGGGCAGGATGGGAAAGCCACACTCCAGGCACCGTGTGACCGCTGACCACAGGGTAGCCTAGATGTCCAGTCTCGGCGCCTGAGAACAAGGCTGACCCGCAGACTCAGCATCTGCTAGGGCACCTCCAGGCCAGGCGGCTCGCCACTCTCTGCTCCGCTGTTAACCCCGCCTTCCTCTACCCCCTCCTGACATCACCCCTGCTCTGCCCCCAGACTCTGCGGACCAAGGTTAGGCCCCTTTGTGTGACCGGCCTTCGCTACTCCCACTCAGAGAGGGATCCAGTCCTCTGGGAGCGATGGTTGCCTGGCAACCTTCACCAGGGCCTCCAGCCCTAAGGGCTTGGGAACTCGGGGAAACTTCGTGGCATGCGCCCCCCCTGTGCCCTACCATTTGCATGTTGGCAGCACTGGGAGAACATCCTGTCAAGGAGAGCCTTGGCAGGGCGGAGAACTTAGGGAAAGGCCTTGGGAGGCAGTGTGGGGGTGGGGCAGGGGATTGCCTTGGGCTCTGGGGGAGGAACCTTGCCTTCTTCCCCACCCACTGCCTGACGTGCCTGCCACTCAGATCTGCCACCTCCTGGGCAGCAAACACGATGCCAGTCCCAGAGGAGCTGCACAGAGCCGCCCTTTTTAGAAGAAAATGTCATCGAAGAATCAAAAACATTAGCACTAGGGGAGACCTTTACATCCACACGAGGCCCCAGGACAAGAGAGGGGCTCTGGCCTTCAGTTTTCCCCTTCCGCTCATTTCCAGCTTCTCTGCCTCAAGTGTGGTGTCCGCTTCTACAAAAGATCAAGCCCACACATGGGTGATGCCAGGAGTCCGAGGGTGGGGAGGAGGAGGGCGATGGAGAAGTGCCAGCAGAAAGGCTGAGAATGAGTCTGTGGTTCACAGGCAGTGACCCAGCCTCGCCTCTGGGTCCTGCTCCGGGATGTGGCCCAGCCAGTGAGGGGATGGCTGCGGGGTGTGTGTGTGTGTGTGTGTGTGTGTGTGTGCGCGCGCGCGCGTGCGCGAGCACCTGGGGAGAGTGCGGCCCCACCACCATCCCTGCACTCCCCCAGGCCGGAACAGAAACTGCAGGGACCATCGAGGCTGGAAAGAGGGACGGAGGAACAGTGTCCCATTGGCACCTGGGCCAAAGCCTGTGAACCCATGCACCAGTCCAGAGGCAGGAGGTGGGACTAGGGAGGCTGGGGAACCGACAGAGACTGTGCCACTTGCAGACCTGAGCTTGCACCCCGTGAGCTTGTCAACCAGGAGGCAGCATCAGCGGCCTGTTCTGTGGTCCAGGTGCAGTTGATGCTGCCTGTGGTGCTCCCCGCCTCGGCCATAAAGGCCCCCATTGCTCAGGAATCCTGCTGGCAAGAATGCAGCCTTTGGGGTTCTTAAGTGAATGAATACTATCCCCATGACAAAAAATACCTTCTCATGCAGCCATCTTCTCCTCAGCTGATGGCAACACCATTCCTCCGGGTGCTCAGGCCAAAGCTCAGAGTCCCCTGGACCGCCCCCTGTCCACCACAGGTCTGTGTACCCGCCTCAATGCCATCCTGCCCCTCCACTGCCCGCTCCTCTAAGCCTTCCCTGCCTCTCACCTTGGCTCCCACACAGCCTCTACCTGCCCTCTCAGCCCCTGCCTCCAATCACCTGTTGTGGATTCTGCACCGGCAGCTGGAGTGAGCCAGTGGAAACATCAGCGGGATCCTCACTCCTCCACTCAGGGCCTCCGCTGGCTCCCTATGTCAGTGAGTCTAAGGCCGAGGCCCGCCCCCAGCCTCACAGGCTTCCCAGGTCTGGCTCCAACCCATCAGGCCTCACCCACCACCCTCTCCCTTGGGTCCAGCCACAAGGGCCCCACGGCTGCTCCTCACATGTGCCAGGCAGCCCCCTGCACCCCACGACCACCCTTTACAGCTGTGCCCCACCACTGTTCCCTGCTTGATTTTTCTCCTTAGCTCCCAGACCTTCTAAAAGTACTCGGTAACTTACTGCTGTATGTGCCCAAGTGCCCATGAGCCCAGGGACTTTCATAGTTTGTTCACGGATACTCAAATCTTGGCCAGCAGGATGTGGATTCTGGCGGAACAGGGCAGAATCGAGAGGCACACCGATTGGGCACGGACTGTGTCCCGGACTTTACAAACCCTGCGGTCCCTCCGCCCTCCCACAGGCCTATAGCAGGTGCCACTGTCCTCGTTTGTCAGGGGAGCCTTTGCAGGCTGTCTCCTCAGCCCGGAGTGCCCTGCTGCTCACCGGGACTGGCGGGGCACACCCCGGGCACGGCTGGCCCTGGTGACAAGGACTTACCTGCTTGAGGGCGAGGTTGACGAGGTCGTAGCGGTAGGAGATGCGCAAGGGCAGACACATGCTGTAGAGGGCGTGCAGGGCGGCGCAGAAGAAGCTGAGCAGCCCGATCTGCTTGCGGTGCTGCAGCCAGTGGTCCAGCCAGTCAGGGAAGCGGCTGTACTTGGTGCCGCGCCACAGCTGCAGGGCGGCCGCCAGGACGCCGGGCAGGTAGACCAGAGACAGCAGCACGTAGGCCACGCAGGGCAGCGACGTGTTGACCACGGACAGGGGCAGCTTGTAGAACTTGCTCTTGCCCTCCCGCACGTAGGGCTGCAGCACGTCCCGGGTGAGGTTGTAGGCGTAGAAGAAGACGAAGAGCCCCAGCGCCAGGAGGACCGGCACCTTCCAGCTGGGGAAGAGGTGCAGCGGCCGGGCCTCCACCTCCCAGGCCGCGGCCAGGGACCCCACGTCCACGGGCGTGAAGCCCATGGCGTGCGCCAGCTCCGAGACGACGCGCTTGGCTTCTGGCTGGTCGCTGCAGATGGGCACCTGCGGGAGGAAGGCGAAGGGGAGTCAGACCGGGTAGGGCACTGCCACTGGGGTGGGCAGAGCCTCAGAGTTTTAGGGACAAACTCCGCTGAGCAGCTGAACATCTAAGGCCCAGCAGTGCCAGTTAACAGTGTGGCTGGGCACAGAGGTGGCTCTGACACCCAGGCCTGGGGTCTTCCCTCACCTGTGTAGCCTCCCAGACTCTGGCCCAGCAGTGCCCACTCCTCAAGGAGAGCACCGGGCCCACCCGGCAGTGAGCGTGTCACCAGGTCATTACCACCAGCCTCCAAAGCACAGTGCTCACCTCGGCCGCCCCTGCGGGGCCTGGGGATAGTGCTGGGACTGTGCTCTCCAGGGCTGTGCACTTGGCAGCTGGGCTGAATATGCAGCTGGGAGTGCAGCTCTACCCCAGTCCAGAGGGTCCCTTCGGATCATGTTCCTCAGCCCTTAGGACTCTCAGCCAACACACAGCCGGCCCTGCATGAACTCACAAGCACGCTCCCTGGTTTTGTCCCTAAACCCTCCATGGGCCTGGTGACCCCGCTGTGGTCAGCATGTTCTACCAACACCGACTCGGCATACACTGTGTCCGGGCTTCACCCCTGCCCGGTTCCATTGTCCCCATTTGTTCGGGTGAGGAAACTGAGGTCTATGACTTTGCAGGTTGCCTCCTCGGCCTGAAATGCCCTGCTGCTTCCTATGCATAACATGATGCGGGTAAGAACAAGAACAAGGCCAAGGTTGACCTCAAAGTCTTCCTCAGCCAGCCGTTAGCTCTCTTTCCTCCAAGCCCTGCCACCCCACACTCACCCACGGTTCCTGGCCTGTCCACATGGGAGCCCTAGGAGGCAAGCTGCACAGAGGCAGCTGCAGACAGGGGTGGCCTAGCCCCCGTGGGCTCTCCCCGGCCTGGCAGGCAGCTCTGCAGCAGCGTCTGTCCTGACCTCAGCGGGGGGAGTTCTCACACATACGTGGGTCCTGGCTCCTTCCTCCAAGAAAGTGCTTGGCCTCTGGTATTAAACACTACCTTGTCTTTGTAAGAGCTCCTCCTGCCAAGAGCTGGGAACAGCTCGGCCGTTCTCTGGAGCCATTTCCACCATCAGAAAAACCTGCGAGAGACCGTTCTGAGAAGCCCTCTCAGTGCTGGGAAGCCCCCTGAATAAATGGGTGACACTGTGGGACACGCACACTTCCTCAGGGCTTGGCACATACATGAGTGCCTTTCCTTCTTCTGAGTCCAATTCTAAAAGCAAAGCTTCTTCCTTTCTTGACTCTAAACAAAAAAAGAAAGCCATTGGCTGGAGGAGGTTAATGGGGGATGGGGCAGGAAGGCATATGTAATACTTTCAATAATAAAGAATTATTTAAAAATTAAAAAATTAGACAAGCCATCAACCTTTTCCTCCTACCTCCCTAGGTAAGCAAGTTACCATAGAAAAAAGAATGTGAATTTCAGGTTCACAGGAAATAGGTTCAAATCCCGGATGGCCAGCGGTGGGACCTGGCATAAATTCATCAATATCTCTGAGCCTCAGTTTCCTGTCTGTGAACTGGGACTCCCAGTGATGTGAGACGAGCTGAGACAATGAGCACGAAGACCTTGTGTGCTGAGGGCCCACAAGGAAAGCTAGCCATTACATTTACCGTCACGATGGTTGTTACACCCCCTCTTCGTCCCCCACTCCCCCGCACCCACCTGCCTGTTCCCATCCCGTGGGCCAGCCTGCAAGGTCCAGGCAGAGATGACATTGAAGGCCTTGACCACCGTGCAGGTGGGGAAGAGGGCGGCCAGGTACTCGGCGTTGGACTCGCGGAGCTGCAGGTGCTCCTGCTCGGTGGGGTTGCTCACGTCCACCAGGATCTTGCCGGCCAGCTGGCCGCTGAGCCCACACAGCGAGGAGTAGTGCTCCCGGAACACGGCCACGAAGATGACCTCAGAGGACTCGACCGCCTCCGCCTGGAACACCACTTGTGCTGCCGAGGGGAACAGCCCAGCCGTGCGTTTGGGGTTGCGGCTTCCCACCACCACGCTGAAACCAGAGCGCACCAGGCGTGTGGCCAGGGACCGGGCAAAGTCCCCAGTGCCCAGGATGCCCACTTTGGGGGCCCCACTGGCAGCCTCGGCCAGGCTGCCATCACTGTCCACCAGGCGACGGCTGATCAGCGGCTTGTCCATCTCTCCTGGCGTACTGGTGGCTGGAAGAGATAATAGGGACCTGGTCAATGGAGGGCTCCTGGACTGCCATTCCTGTCAGCTCTGTCTCTCGTCACTGCATGGTGGTCAAACATTCACCCAACAGGCCTTCATGAGCACTCAGCGGTGCCAGCATGGAGCAACAAGCTGAGTGAGACCCAGCCCCTCCCTGAGGAGGGCACATGTGCAGGAAGAGGAGGGGGAAGGACCGCTGTCCTCCACCCTTTGTCTTTCCTACTGAATTAATCTTTGGGACAAACACGCAAGAGTGAGGGTGCTGAGTATGGAGGGTATGGAATTTCCCATACTGTGCTGCAATGCCCTGCTTATTTTCAAAGGAACATGTGGTGGGCAGTGTTACTATCCATATGACTGTGGACCTCAGCCTCACCATCGCTGGTTTTATCTTAGATTACCAGGAAGGGCAGGTGTGTTCCTCTGCTCGGCTACAGTTTGCATTTGGAATAGTACCTCTGATGCTCTCCTTATGTAAATGGCGAATAGCTCAAAGGCAAGGACCTCATCTTATGTGACTTTGGAGCTCACACTTGTCATAGGGCTAGTGCTCAATATTTGCTGAATGAATGACTAAATACTGCAGTGCTACTCGAGGAAAGGGAGGCTGGGACATGACTTTGAATGGGATCTCCCTCACTGAGCCTGAGGGATGAGAGGACATGGATGAAACCCTGGACTTGAACCAGGAGTTAACAGAAGTTTATTGAGAAACATTACATTTTTAATTGCTACCAAATCCTAAGTGGAATATGCTATTTCCTTATGCATGAAAGTAAGCAACAAACCACAACAGTATTCACAGTGAGCTTGTCACCCATCCTGACCTATGTGGCAGCACATGTAATTGTGAAAGTTTTCCAAATACTGCTTAAACTCATCACTAATTTAAAATCATTATAAAGAAGATCACCTAAATATATAAAGCGAATATTAGCAGATTTGAAGGCAGAAATCAACAGCAATACAGTTCCCACTCTCGACAACAGATAGATCACCCAGACAGAAAACCAGCACGGACACATAGGGCAGCCCTGTAGCTTCCTCATGTGTAATGGAACATTCCTCAGGACAGACCATTTGTTAGGTCACAAAACAAATCTTAACAAATTTAAAAAGACTGAAATCATATCAAGATTCTTTTCTGACCACAACAGTATGAAACTAGAAATCAATAACAGAAGAAAACTGGAAACTTCTCAAGTATGTGGAAATTACACAATACACTCCGAACAACCAGAGTCAAAGAAGAATACAGAGAGAGAAAAAATATTCTGAAACAAATGAAAATGAAAACCGAAAACTTATATAATGCAGCAAAAGCAGTTCTAAGAGGGTTATTAATATTTTAGTGACTACATTAAGAAAAACAAACACACTCGAACAATTTAACTTTACCCCTCAAAGGAATACAAACTAAGTCCAAAGTTAGCAGAAGAAATAAAAGATCAGGGTGAAAATAAATGAAACACAGGAGAGAAAAACAGTAGAAAAAAAATCAACAAAACTGAGACCTGTTTTTTTAGATCTCTAAGGGACCTGGTTTTCCCTCAGTCTATGACAGTGTAAACATTACAGGCAGCAGAAGCAGAGTGAGACATGTTTGTTTTTAATTGAAAAATCTTCAGTGAGACTAAAAAAGGGGAGAAAAAAATAAATAAAGTAAAAAATGAAAGAGAAGAACCTTAGCCAGTTTTGCTCAGTGGTTAGAGCATTGACTTGCAGACAAAAGGGCCGCAGGTTCAAGTCCAGTCAAAGGCATGTACCTCGGTTGCAGCTTGATCCTTGGCCTAATCAGGGCTTGTGCAGGAGGCAACCAATCAATGTGTCTCACATCGATGTTTCTCTCTCTGGTCTCTGCCCTTCTCCCTTCCACTCTCTCTAAAAGTCAATGGGAAAAATATTCTTGGGTGAGAATTAACAAAACAAAATTAAAAAAATAAACAAATAAATGGAGAAATTACAACTAATACTATAAGAGACTATATGAACAATTATATGCCAATATTTGGGTAACCCAGAAGAAATGGATAAGTTCCTTAAAAAAACATACAATCTACCAAGACTGATCATGAAGAAACAGAAAATCTGACAGGCCAATAATGAGTGATGATATTGAATCAGTAATTTAAAATCTCCCAACAAGGAAAGGGCCCAGGACTGATGTCTTCACTGGTGAATTCTACAAAATATTTAAAGAAGAATTGATGCCAGCCATGGCCTGTTTTGTCCAGTGGTTATAGCACTGGCCCTTGGACCCATGGGCCATGGGTTTTATTACAGGAAAAGGGCATGTACCTCAGCTGCAGGTTCCCCAGCCCTGGTAGGGGCATGTGTGGGAGGCAACCAATCAATGTATCTCTCTCACATCAATGTTTCTCTCTCTCTGTCTCTCCCCCTCCCTTCTACTCTTTCTGAAATGGAAAAATATCCTTGAGTGAGGATTAACAACAACAACAACAAAAACACACACAAACACACACACACACACACACAAAATTAATGCTAGTCCTCTACAACTCTTACAAAAAATAAGGAAACTGTAAGAAAAGAAAATTATGGGACAATATCTCTGATGGAAAAAAATCCTCAACAAATTTCCTAGCAAAAAAATCAATAGCATATTAAAAAATCCTGTACCACGATCAAGTGGGATTTTATCTCTGGCATGCAAGGATGCTTCAACATCTGCAAACCAATAAATGTGATATACTCCATTAACAGAATTAGGGATAAAAATCTTATGACCATCTCAAGAGATGCAGAAAAGAGCATTTATCCTTTCATGATTAAAAACTCTTAAGAAAAATAGGTATAAAAGGTATGTATCTCTTATGTCCACACAAGATTTGGTGAAGAGTCAGAATATCATGTTAAGACAAAACGCTAGCCAAAACCGGTTTGGCTCAGTGGATAGAGCGTCGGCCTGTGGACTGAAAGGTCCCAGGTTCGATTCCGGTCAAGGGCATGTACCTTGGTTGTGGGCACATCCCCAGTGGGGATGTGCAAGAGGCAGCTGATCGGTGATTCTCTCTCATCGATGTTTCTAGCTCTCTATCCCTCTCTCTTCCTCTCTGTTAAAAATCAATAAAATATATTAAAAAAAAAAAAAGACAAAACGCTCAAGTGACCTTTAAAGTAGTGTTCTCTCTCTATATGGGTATTGGATTCTTCAGTGACTCAAATGCTTTATGGCTATGGAAATATACTGGGTTCACATCTCCTTTAAAAAAAAAAAAAAGGTATGTACCTCAACATAATAGAAGCCATATATGACATGTCCACACCTCACATCATCCTATATAATAAAGATGTAATATGCAAATGGTCATTACACCTGAAACATAACGACTGATCATGTAAACAACTGGATCACGGATCAGCAGGAGGGCAGGGCAGCAAGCTATGAGGGGGGGTGTGAGGGAGAGCTACAGCAGGATGGCAGAGAGCTACCAGGCAAGCTACTGGTGCACGGATTCCTGCGCAGGGCTACTAGCATTATGATAAAAAGCTTTCACTTAAAGATCAAGGATGCCTACTCTTGCCACTTCTATTCAACACAGTACCAGAAGTTCTGGCCAGAAAAATCAAACAAGAAAAGAAAAAGAAAAAAAAAAAAAGGCATTCCAATTGAAAAAGAAGGAAAATTGTCACTGGTTGCAGATGACATGATATAGAAAACCCTAAGGGCTCTATCAAAATTTTGTTAAAGCTAAAAAAACTAATTCAGTTAAGTTGCAGGATACAAAACTCATTGTAAAAAATTAGTTGTAGTTCTAGACATTAATAATGAACCATATAAAAAAGAAATTTTAAGAAATCTCATTCATAATACCATCAAACATAAAATAAAAATAAAATAATACTTAGGAATAGATTTAACCAAGGAGGTGAAAGACCTGTACACTGAAAACCATGAAACATTGATGAGGGAAATTGAAAAAATAAACACATTAATAAATGAAAAGAATATTGTTAAAATGTCCATATTAGAGTTCAAAACACTATTAAAATTTCAATTACATTTTTTACAAATATAGAGAAAATAAACCTAGGATTATATAAGACTGCAAATAGCTAAAGCAATCTTGAACAAGAACAAAGCTGGAGGCATCATACTCCCTAATTTCAAACTATATTACAAAGCTATGATAACCAAAATACTGAATAAAAATAGACACATAGACTAATGAAACAGAAAAGAGAGCCCAGAAATAAACACACAGATAAGGTCAACTAATCTTTGACAAAGGTGCCAAGAATGCACAATGGGGAAATGGCAGTCTCTTTAATAAATGGTGTTGGGAAAACTGCATATCCTCACGCAAAAGAATGAAATAGAACCTTTATTTCACACCATACACGAAATTCAACTCCAAATGGATTAAAGACTTAAATACAAGACCTGAAACTATGTAACTCCTAGAAGAAAACATCGGGAAAAGATCCTTGGCATTGGCCTCGATCATGAATATTTTGGCTTTGACACCAAAAACACAGGCAAACAAATGTAAAACCAAACAAGTGGGACTACATCGAACTACAAAGTCTTTGCATAGCAAACAATCAACAAGGTGAGAAGACAACCTGTGGAAGGGGAGAAAGTATTTGTAAATAAGTTACCTGATAAGCTTATATCTTATACACCCAGCTATATGTATCTGATCATATCCAAGAAACTTACTTGTATACAATTCGACAGTTAAAAAAGAGACAAATAAATGGGCAAAGGACCTGAATATACATTTTTCTAAAGAAGAAATACAAATGGCCAATAGGTACATGAAAAGACGACCAGCAGCACTAATCATTAGGGAAATGTAAATCAAAACTCAGGATTATCATCGGAAAGTCAAAATATAATAAATATTGGCAAAGATGAGGAGGAAAAAAGGGAACCCTTGTGTGCTGTTCACAGGAATGTAAAGTAGTACATACAATACAGATACAGTATGGAGGCTCCTCAAAAAGTTAAAAATAGAACCAT